AAAACATATACAGTCAAGTATAATTAGATAATAAAGCCAGCAACTGGAATGGAAGGAAGTGGGGAATATCTTGGAAAAGAAGATCTACTAAAACAATAGCTTCAAGTGTCTGTTTACATTAGGCAATAGCAGAATTGTCTGGGCAGAGAATTCCATAATTTGCGTTCCATATTTAAAACATCCCTTTCCTTTTTTCATGACCTGAATTTCTGCTGAGGTAAGAATATCAAAAGTTGCATTCAAGTTGCAAAGATGAATGTTAGTACTTAAAACTGAATGATGAAATTTCAGTTATGATTTGTATTGAGGATTTCAGTTTCGCTCCATCTGTCATTTTTCCAGTTTAAAGTTCAGCTCCTCCCCTTTTAAAACAAATTGCACAAAAATTAGGATGAAGTTGTATGTACTATTATGCCTGATATTTGCATTTTTACAAGAAATGTTCCCTTATGTGCCATATAACTGCATAGATTAATTTCATTATAGATAACAATAGTCACTCCTCTAGCGACTGCCTCAGTTAGTGACTGTTCACAAATACAACGGTAATAAACAGTAGTAAATGGTAGTAAAAAAATTTTCTGACCACTGCACGCACATTTCCGCGCCTGACAACAGCGTCCACTGGAGTGAGAGTAATGGTGGCGTAGCTGCACGAGAGACTTTTATCTGAATGAGATGGCAGCAACCAGTGATCTTTGCAGTGTCTCTCTCTGTCACGTGATTCACTGGAATGCATTGAGGTCACTAAACAAGGAGAGAATGTAGTGAATCTTTATGAGTGGCAAAGGGAATGGGGCCTGGATATCTTAGCCTGCAAACACCTCAGGAATCAAGATGACTGAATGGCTAAGTGGGCTAAGTTCTAGATAGAATGCAACTCTTAGCTGACTGCAGAGAGCCGGATTAAGGATTATGGTGCATTCTTCCTGAGAGAAGGACAATTTCTTGGAGGGGGGAGGAGTCCTAGCATATATTTCAGCTTCCTCACTCAGGGTCTCATCAAAGTCTCTGCTATTTTTCCATTACACATTTGTTTTATGTTATTTTTATTTTTGCCTCCATTATTATCCAGGAGGGCATATTGGCCTTTACTAATACATTGGCAGTCAAGACAAAAACTAAAGATTTTAGTATGTAATTGGACTGGTTTTAGCATTCAGGTTTAGCGCTGGGTTTTACAGCAGCAGGGCCTTCTGTCCCTTTTTTTAAAAAAAATACTGTATTTATTTTGTGTGTATGTGTGTGTGCGCAAGACATATTGCATGCTGTAGAAACAGGAAAGGAAAAAGAACAAAAGAAAGGGATAAAATAGTAGAGTACAGATGAATAAAACAGGGGATTACAAGTATCATAAAATTATGGTTTTCCAGTATATCATTAATTGATTGTGAGTAACTGAAAATGTTATATCATTTTAAAAAGTCTGAAAATCATTATTAAGCTCTAAGCCAGGCCCTCTATTCTAAGTGTGTCACCATAACAAAATGGAGCTAGTGAGGAGCTAGGGAAATAACCTTGTAAAGTACATGTGACAGTTTGACAGCCCATGTGTTTTTAAAGGGTAGGACTGCATAGTTGTTTCTGATCCTCAGAAGATTTCCTGGGTTTTAGCAGCTGCATTATGTTGAATAGGTTCCTGAAGCCAACAGTCAGTAGTATGGATGAAAAAAAATTTCTTCCATTTTAGCACATAGAACAGTTTGTTCTTTTAAAATGTTTTTTCTCTCAAATATTTAAATGAACTGAATTATTATTTTCTCACCATATGTGCTGTAAGGATGAACAGTAGAAGGAAAAGCAATTGGTGCCCCAAGAAGGGTTCCCCATGGACTAGCTATCCAAGATAACCCTTTGTTCCGAACCCTCCATTAAGGTCTTTGAAAAAAATCCAGTATGAACTACAGAATGATAGGCCCCAAAGGGACCTCTGGTATGTTTGAGAAGCTTATTGTAAACAGGCAGGCACAACCATATATGTGGGGAGAAGTCCCAAACTACTTACTATTATTAAACTTGTATGCCATCCAACTCTCCATGAGAGGAGGAGTTTTAAAGTTCTATTACCCTGTGCTCTGCCTCGGGCAAGAGTTAGCTGGCTGTTCCTGTTCATTGTTTGCTTTCAGATTAGTGACCTATTGAATGTTCTGCCAGCTAGATGTGGATGAAAATGACAGATTTTGGGGACAGCAGCTGTTTGCATACCCCTGACCTTTTCATCAAAGCTATTTGCTTTTGTAACTGCAGAGTAGCTCTTGCCACCTGTTGAGGTAAAAAAAGGTGATCTGTATGGCCAGTTATTAAAAATATCGCCAGTATTTATTTCCTTAATATGTAGTATATGTAATACACATTAAAATATATATTTCTTATATTAAAATTTCTAAAAACATTAAAAAACAAAAAACATAAAAGAACTAACATATACCCGTACATATAGGCATAGAGTACAGTGAATTCAAAAGTGCTGTATATAAATTGATACATCCAAATCGAAGGTAGGTGTGTGGTGAGTGGTTAATTCTGGGACTTTCATTCATCATAAGCAAACTGGTGATGAGTCAGCTGTCTTTTACTTACTGCTCTTGAATCTTGTCTGCATTGTCATTTTTGTAAAAGTTCTGATTGTGACTCTGGCTTTTGCTTTTTAAGAATTTGTGACTCGTAAAAGAAGAGAACATGATGCATCCCATGAGATAAATAATACAGAAGATGCGAATAAAGAGTTAGAGGTGCTGAAGAGTACCGTATCAGTTAAGAAACCCACAGAAGTGCCTCTTTTATCAAAATCAAGGACTATAACAGGAGATCCTGTGGTCAACCCAACAAACAATTCCAGTTTGGCAAGACAAATTACTTCCATTTTGAAGAAAACCACTGCCAGCCCTGTGAACACTAGTGTCTCCCAAGTCGTCGTAGGATCAACAGCCATAACCAATATTAGTAACAACATAACTATGGTCTGGAAAAATTCAGTTGCTAGCACTCTAAATATTCCAAGCAGCCGTCCTTGGTTAACTCCCACAATAGGAGCAGATGGTACTACTGACATTACAAGTACTACAAATGCAAAAGGGACAAACGATAGTAAATTAATATCAGGAGTAGTTGAGAAAATAATACCAACAGAACCGCTTCCCAGGACTATGACTACTGCTGCAACTTATCAAGTGCTTTCCACGACTCTCAAAAAGCTACATATTTCTAGCATTCCTGCCCCAGCTAGCACTGGAGATGGCTCTAAGCCAGTGGTAAACTCATCGACAGTTGCAGCCACCCACGAGCCACCACCTTCCACAGCCAAAGGCACGATTCATACAGTTGTAAGCACAACCATGGCAGCAGCTTCTATAGTAACAGTAAAGTCAGCTGAATTCACAACAGTTGCAACAGACAGGATAAAGCCTACTTCAGATAAGGTAATTCATCCTGTGATTACTAAAGGTGCTGACATCTCCACCACTTCACATCAAATATTGTCAACTAGTCAACCAGTGAAGGGAACAACTTCTGTACATCTCTTGTCAGTGTTCACAGGTACAAATCCAAAAATGTTATCCAAACCAACGAGTATACAAAGCAAAAACCAGAAAGAGACAGATAGAGAAAATAGCTTTCGGCAAGTAGATGTCAGTTTGCTCTTAGCAGTGCTTCTCTTTGGCGTTCTGTTTTTTGTAACAGTTGTTGTCTTATTTGCCATACAAGCCTATGACAGCTACAAAAAGAAAGATTACACTCAAGTGGACTACTTGATCAACGGGATGTATGCAGACTCAGAGATGTGATGAAATATACGTAGATTCAGATGTGAAAGCAATAGAAATGAAATGTTATACCCATGCATACAAATATAAATCTGAATCTATATATGAATGAATACAACCTTATTGGGACAAGTAGAAAGCCTAGGGTGGCTTGTCTTTCAGTTCCCTGTTTTGCCTACAAGACCACCTGAAAGTGCTTCCAAATTACTTTTCGTGCAATGAAGGAGAAATGCCATGTGTCATACTTTTAAAGTACTTTTTTAAAAACACACTCACAGTTAAAGGGTGCCATGAATGTATTGTTTCTCAAGCTACAGTATTGTTTCTGTTGTGCTAGTTTTGTCTGCTAATACAAAGGGTATTGATGTTGCAAGTCTTCCTGGATGGTTTCTTCCTGATTCCTGTTCATCCTGTTTACTCCTATACAACAAATGGAGAAACAGTGTTTTTTAACATGCCGATTTTCCTGAAACTTCTAGTTGGCATGAAGACTATGTTAGTTGTTGCTAGTGCAAATGAATGGCCAAGGATTAGCAGGATTAGCATAGTGGAACAACACAAAAGAGTGCCAAAATCTTTTGGGACTGGTTATTTAGGTATGATATGCTTCATTTGGATACATTTGAAAGCCTTCCTAAAATCGCTAAACATTCTGATTGCTTTATCCTGGTGGCAGCATTTGTTGTAAGGTTAGAAAACTTAATTGTTAAAAATGTATTTATCATAATCTGTTTAATGCTGTACTGTTTCCTAATCATGTTGATTTTGCACCTTTTATATGATTTTATTTTTGTACCCATTCACTTAAAAATTGAGGACGAGTCGATGTCAAGTGTTATTGGCTCTGTTTTGTCCCTTCTGGATGTCTATTTCTCATGAGCATTTCCATAACATGAATTCACATGGTAACTTTATTCTTTCTCTCCAAAGCTCTTGGTATTGGTATCCTTGTCAGCTTGATCAAACCATTCACACTCATTTCCTTTCAGTAATTTTTCAAAATTTATAATCTCTTGGTTCCAGTGTTTTGCATATTACTTCTTATATGACAGTATATGGTAAGCTTATATTTTAATATTACTTGTAAAGATGGACACATGAGGAGGGTTAGTACTTCTTTTAAACCTTCATCCTTCTCTGGATCCATTCAGGAGGAAATGAAGAACAACATTGTATGGGACATTTTGATGATCTTTTGCATTCTGCTGTACACATTTACATATTCAGTTGTGAAAGATAACTGAATAATCTACTCTTAGAAGTTACCTTAGTGAGGGAACTAGCTAGAAGGATTGTCATGGACTAGAGATTGCTTAGAACGCCTAGCAGAAGTCTCGAAAGAAGCAGGCTAAATATCTAGGTTGCATAAATCCAGACAACATCTAGCAGTTGTCCAGATTTTTGCTGTCCATTTAAGGGGAGCCTAACATTTACTGATTTGCTTGAATTCAGTTCACACATGATTTGAATTCTCTAAAATCTTAAAATTAGCCTGTTAAATTCCAAGGGTGGGTATGTGTAGAGTGACATGGCTAAAGCATTAGAGTTTTGAAAACATTCAAGTTACACTTAGTTCCACAAGAAATGAGAATCAGTTGAAAACCATGTAGTGTATGTACATTTGGTCATCCTCAACGGGACAGAATGAAAGATATTGGATACTTCATTCTCTGTAAGCTTAAAAAAAGCAGGAAGAGGAACCAAATCAGGACTATATACATGATTATTTTACTTAACACCCATCCAAAATAGTATAATATAAGATGAAAACTAACAACAGCTGCAACTTTTTGAAGTTTCTTTGCAGGTGACCATCTCTGTGCACCAAGCTTTTAAGGGAGGCCTGCCATTGCTATGCTTAATTTGTATTTTCAAATGTTTCTTGCATCTCTAGAGATGAACCAACAGGGTATGCTGTTGAGCTGTTCATGAAACATAGATTCCATCTTTGGACTTTGGCAGAGGACTTCCAAATTTGAGCTGCCTCCATTCTCTTGTGCTGCTCCCCTTATTTATTTAGCCGAGACTTCTCTTCTGTCCCCACTCTTCATAAATTATGTTTGAATTAGACATACTCTATAGTTGCAGTGAGATGACCCAACATCCTGCTGACACCAATTAAAATGAAGGAAACTATTTAGATAGGAATGTACAGCTATTTTAAAAAGACATAAACAGCAACTGTTTACATAATACGTTACTCGGTATCAAAAACACTTAGATCTGTTATGCTGGGACAGGCAGAATTATTAAAATATAATTATATGTCTTTAGACTACCTCCCATCTTCCCAAGCCTCAGTAAAGTGCTTAAGGGGTTGGACTAGGACCAGGGAGACTCAGGTTCAAGTTGACCTACAGCCATGAAAACTCACCCGGTGACTCTGGGCCAGTCATTCTCTTTCAGCCCAACCTATCTCATAAAGTGAAGTCAGATCACAATGTGAGATACCTTTGAGCTTCTCGAGGAAAGATGGGGTGTAAATTAACAAATAAGCTGACATTTTTTAATTGCATTACAATTTACAGACCACAGAGGGATAACCCTGTGTTCCAAGAAACTTGCATTCCAAACTTCAATATACAGAAAGAACTGGAGGCAGGAATAAACATGACAAGAATATGCAGCTGGTTTGCTCACATGTGCTAAGGCTTGTTCACAGGCAGTGTTATTTATGTATAGGCCAACCAATAACAAAATTCTGATAAAATGAAGTAGGTTAAATGTTTCACAATAAAATAAAAATGCAAGTTAAAATACAAGAACAGAAGAGGAGGACAGGCACCATGGTAAACCAAAGAGAGAGAAATCCCAAGTGCCAGGAAAAAAAGGGGAAGAATTCCAAGCACCAGTTCATTTAAGCCCAACGCATTTCAGAAATGATGTTTCTCAGGGTCACTTTTGGAATATCCATTAACTAATTAACTAATTGACTGGCTCTTGGAATTCCTTGGCCCTCCCTTGTTAAAAAAAGAAGCAGATTAAATTAATAAAGCTAAAACAGGGTTTAAACATTGGAGCAGATGTAAAAAACATGGAAAAGTAATATTTTGTCTTGTATCAGAAAACATGGGTGTTAGGCAACCCTCTCTAGGGTTATTTAACAGTGAGATATTTATTTATTTAGTCAGTCAGTCAGTCAGTCAGTCTGCGCTCAGTCATTGCTGACCCTGCAGTGACTG